ATTTTCTTCTTATTATTAATATTTTCTTCTTATTATTGATATGTAAGTGTCCATTTAAATCTTTAAAAATATTTGCAAAGTGCTAAAAAAGAAAAATGTAATTTTCCATAGAAATACTTGTGTTTCTGTAGAACTCAGCATTATCCTCAGGGAGCTCCATAACATTTAAATCTAGATGTAATATCCATAATCCGCCACCAGGTGGCAGTAACTAACTTACACTAAACTGCTGCGAAGGTCGGCAAAGTTATTTTTACACAACCTGATCTATTTATTATTATTATTATTATTATTATTATTATTATTATTATTATTATTATTATTATTATTATTATTATTATTATTATTATTATTCTGTCTTCATCAGCGATAATTTAACAGTTGACCAAATGCATCCATGCTCCATATAATAACCTGTCTTTGTTTTGAATCTTTCAGTTAGCGCTTTGAAAACTTCAACCGGACACTCCTTATCAGTTGGTGGCGGTAATGCTCACCGACCATTTTTGCCAGAAGAAGAAACTTCAACCGGAAGCTTTTCTCGTCTCATCCAGCTTGTCAGAGGTCAGAGGCTGCAGTATTGTTGTTGCTAACGCTTAAGCTTTGCTCTGGTCATGACACAAATACCTATTTTACCCTAAAATACAATAGAAATAGAACAAGCGTTTTATAAACCATCCACCTTTGGGGAGGAATAAGAATATAAAGCCGTGGGGAAGAGCCGAAAAGTGAGATGAAATGACAACGTCAACATTACAGGTACGTTTCAGCGTTAGCCAGTGCTAACTTGTTCACAAAGCTAACCTTTGAGTTTTAACCTACCTGAACGGTTTTATACAACCATGAAAACATCCGAGAGATTTTGCTCAAAGTATTGTTTTTTTATTACCATCTGAAATCTAAAAACCTTTTTAAAATTCACGAGAAAATACAGATTTTATAAGGCCCTTCTCTTTAATCAAAACAAAAGACAACACCTAAATACTGCACACCCTCAATATGTTAAGTTTATCTACTGTTACTGTAGTAATAGTTTCCACTTAGACATTTATTTTGATCTGTCAATGATAAAAGAAAAAAAAAAGATTCTGTCATTTATGTTTAAATGATATAAAGTTTAAGGGCTTTGCTTTCTCCAGCAGCTCATATTGGGGGAGTGGTGGCCTAGAGGTCAGGGCATAGAGCTTGAAATCCTGAGGTTGTGAGTTTGAAACCCACCCTCCCTAGGACTGCCACTCTCTGAGCAAGACCCTTAACCTCACACTGCTCCCTGGGCGCCCCACGATGGCAGCCTGCTGCTCCCAAAGGGGATGGGTTAAATGCAGAGGTACATTTCAACCAGCTTAAATGTCAACCAGACCCATTTGCACAGAGACAGATAAAAACCTATCAAAAAACTAAACATTACCCGCCTCATATCTGACTCCATAACCATTCAAAAATATGTATATTTACATTAATTTCAGATGGACCTATTTACATATTTGTATTATATTAAACTGCACTTACAGCCATTTACCTTCTACGTGTGATCTTGCTTGGACTCGCAATGATTCATGGGATACCCAAGACTACGTAGGATACACCAGACCCATCCTTCAGAAAGGGCAAAAAGAAGGATTTATTTGTCGACCGCATAATGAGGAGTCTTGCATTCCGGACAGGCCTCGGCGCCGCGCTATGATACAATCTTTAGATGACCCTGGCATTTGGAGGACGCAGCTGCTTACCGGTAATTCAAACTCAGCATTTAGGATGAAGAAAAATGGAAAGAAGTGACTTTGTGGTCCTGTTCGAAATCCGGCAGCTGTGTCCTTCGTAGGCCGTGGAAATAAGGAGACCGGAAGAATTTTGGCTGTTGATCCGAACAGGTCCAGCCTTCTCCACTGCCTCTCACTCACCCTATGCTCTGTAGCAACTGTGACGGCTGATGTACAAAACAGGCAAAGAATGGATGCCCAACTTCTCGCTACTGTTCTGTTTGCTAATTTAATTTCTGAGGAGCTTCAGCAGCAGTACTGTCGTTGTTGAACCATTTTCTCAGGCACTGCAGATTTATTACAATGTGTCCTCAAATATCAGCCAAACCCATTTGCACATGGACAGATAAAAATCAATAAACTAACCATTACCTGCCACATATCTGACTCAATAACCATTTCAAATAACCATTTTCATTCATTTCAGACGGAATTATTCACATACTTATTCAAAACTGCAGTTACAATATTCACCACTGTTCGGCGCTATTTACCTTTTTCCTCTGAGCACGGAGCAGCCGGCTTGCTTCGATTCACAATGAATCATGAGATAGGGTGGTCTACGAAGGAAACATGAGACCTACATTTTTTGGGGGAGGCGGCATTCGTTGGCCATGTTAAAGTGAGAAGGATTTGTCCCCTTCAAAGTAAAGGCTGTAACGCCCCGGGGCCTCCTCACACGGTTCTTTTCCTGGGAGCAAGTTATTTACTACTCTTAACTCAAACTCGTTAAAACCATATAAAAAAGGACTATAAAAACAGGAGTAAAAAAGTAACAGAGTTTCTTCCAGAAGAGGATGTTTCAGGACAGAGAAAAATGCTTCGAGCTATGCACAGCTGTGGTCTC